TCTGTGGCTGCAGCAGGGTGGTGGGATCAGAAAAGACGTGTCTGTGGTTTCACCTCTGACGAGTTTCCCATCACTATGACAAGGATTACTACAGAGGAGGTGCACAGCAAGTGTGGCTACAAGAAATGTTTAGTGTTCAAGTAAAACATCTGGGGTGTAGGTGCATCCATGTGTCATTTTTAGGGATTGGCTGCATCTCATTCACTGCTCAGCAAAAATAAAATTAAAAAAGTGATTTTTTCCTAAATGCACGCCCTCCCACTTCTGGCTCTCACCCCCCACAACCTTTCCTTTCTTCTGTCCTCCACACTGATTATCCTTCCTAATTCCTGCCTGCCTTCTGTTACGCAACATGTGTTCCCAGCTCTACAAGTGCGCGTTAAGGGAACAACAGCCGGGAACGACTGAACTTCGGCTGAAACGTAAAGCACAACCTGAGCCACGGAGCTTTGTGTCGCCACTTCCATTTGAAAGTCTTTATCAAAGCGGAACGACTGATTTGCCTCCTAACATGGATAAGTGGAGGTAAATAACACAATAATGACCCACCTTGCTGCTGTGGAAGCTACCAACAGCTCTTGCCGCGCTGTCAGTGAGTTTTACGTGAAAAACCGAGACGTTGCCGCCGAGGCTCAGTTTACCGCCGGACAGTCCGTAACACCGGTTCTCCTTCAGCGCCAACATGACGCCGCATTCCCTCCCGACAGTCAGAATTCTTCCGAACCGAAGCAGACCGACATAAAGGAGCAAACATTGGCCGGAGGAGAGGCTCCGCGGAGCCGCGAGTCTAGCTGCACCTCCGCTGCGCGCTATTCCGAAGCGCCGAGCGTTACGTCATGACGGCTGAACCCAGGCCTGATTCTATTGGTCGAGAGACAAACACGTACGGCTTACGTCACCACGTCTGCTTTTTCAGTTGGTTTCCTATAGGGCAGGTCGTTGTAACATATATTCAAATCGCCGAACAAATAAAAATAGCCCTTTTTCTGTGGAAATGCAGCGTGAATGCTGCGTCCTGCTAAGATTTGTTGAAGATGAAACCGAACTGTTTAAGATGAAATGATCAGGACAAGAACTAAAATTAGATAAACAAAAGTTAAAAGTTCAAATGAATTAATTGGTAAGGTACAAGCTGGGCCTCAGCACAACAGTAACTGAGTGCTAAAATTGGCAAAACAGTTGATAAAAACTAAAAAAAAAAAAAAAAAAACCATTAGCTAAAGCTGTGGGCAGCACGGTGAGCCGCTGCCTCTCAGCGAGAAGGTCACCAGCTCAAATCCCAGTCTGGGGGGCCTTTCTGGTTTGCATGTTCTCTCCGTGCGTGTGTGAGTTTCCTCGGGGTGCTCCAGTTTCCCCCCACAGACTAAAAACATGCATGTTAGGCTGATTGGTAACTCTAAATTGTCCCTGAGTGAGAGAGTGCATGGTTGTTTGTTTTGTTTGTCTCTATGTGTCCCTGTGATGGACTGGAGACCTGTCCAGGGTGTCCCCCGCCTCTTACACAGTGATAGCTGGACATGGACACCAGTGACCCCCGCGACCCAAAAAGGAAGACGGGGGTAAAATATAATGGATGGATAGCTTAAAGCTAAAATTGTTGCTAACATCTGAAATGAGCTAAATGCTAAAATGAGCCAAACCATAGCTGAAGTCTAAAATTAGCCGAATAGTGTCTGAAAGTTGATTTTAAAGTTTTCTTTTAATGCTTGTTTCTGTTAGTGTATAGCACTTTGGTCAACAGTGTTGTTTTAAAAGTGCTTTATAAATAAAGTTGTATTGCATTGAAAGTAAAAATCAAAGCAAGTATGTTAAAGTTTATTTTGCGCACACTCATTTTCAAAGGCTTTAAGATTTTTTTTATTCTTTCAAATGAAAGAAAATGTAAAGAAAAACAAACCCAAAAGTCATAGTCAAATGTTTAGAGCAAGCTGCACATGTAGATTAATGAATGATTGAAAAAGCTGAAAGACTACAGACGGACAAAAAACTTACAATAGAAACTATAAACAGAAAAACAACAGTGTGAATGCTGGTGCACGCATGTGTGTGTGTCCTTGTCCATACATGTCATGTTCCAGTAGCCCATTTCTCATCAGGATGTCCTGGTTCCACAATATCTGACGCCGTCACTGACCTTTTTAATCCGGGGAGACGTCTGAGCCGGCATGGCCTCATTATCATGTCTCTCACTCAGTGTGTAACAATGTGTAACCAAGATGGCTCAGAGGTTGGCACCCGGATTTGAACACTTAACCCATGATCTTCCTGCACCACATTTATGTGACTTAACCACTGCAGCAACTCTTACAGTCTTCAAGTCAAAGTAGGAGACACCACCAAGAGTGGTGGAGACTGGCAGGGCTAAGATACTGGGGGACTTCTAGATCCAGACTGACAAAAATGGCCAACAAACCGGACACTGTGGTGGTCGACAAGCTACAGAAGAAGGAAGTGGTGACAGATGCAATCCCAAGTGACATCAGGAAGAAGCAGAACGAGAAGCTGGAGAAATGCCCAGGGCTGAAGGAGAAAATATAGAAGTTGTGGTCAACTCAAGTCAAAGTCCCAGTGGTCATTGGATCACTCGGTGCTGAGACCCCAAACAGGAAGAGAGGCTCCAACAGATCCCAGAAACAACCTCAGAGATCTCTGTCCAGACAGACTGTTCCCAGAACTAAACAGTCCTGGGAACAGTTAAGACACAGCGAAGAACCCTGAAGGCCACCCAGGCCTCTGGTAGAGGACCCAAACTTGAAGTCAAGTGGAACGCCACCTGAGTACATTCTCCTCTAACCATGGTCAGAGTGGACGGGTCTGGTTTTACTGCTTCATAATATTCAGTGAAGTTTGTCTGAGGTGCAGTGATGAAACCTGTTGAACAAGACAGCAGTTTTCAGTCAGGTCATCTGGACAGTTTTCTTTTTTTTTTCTTGTGCTGAAACGTTTCATCTTCCATCCAGAAGGCTTCATCAGTCAAGGAAACACACAACACAAAACTGATTCTTCCCCCAACAGCTTACTCCAAAGTGGAACAAACCATTTATGTTGGTGCTAAGATGGTCTCTTTGGCACGTCCCCTCGTCTGGTGCCGGCCCTCTCTCTTGTTGACAGTCGTGTCAAACTGGTTGAAAACCAACAAAGTCCATGCTCAACAAGTTTTTCTGGGTGGAGTTTGCATGTTCTCTCGGTGCATGCGTGGGTTTTCTCTGGGTGCTCCAGTTTACTCCCACAGACCAAAAACATGCATGTTAGGCTGATTGGTGACTCTAAATCGTCCCTAGGTGTGAGTGAGAGAGTGAATGGTTGTTTGTCTCTATGTGGCCCTGTGATGGACTTGCGACCCGTCCAGGGTGTCCCCCGCCCCTCGCACAGTGATTGCTGGACATGGGCACCAGTGACCCCCGTGACCCAAAATGGAACAAACGGGTAAAGAAAATGGATGGATGGATATATTAAAAACAAAAAACAGCTACATTACATTATAAAGTGATGTAAAATACTAAAAACAGGAACATGTCTGTTGGTTTATGCCATGAACTTAGCAG